CCCCCCTTCTTCTCTCTCTCCCTCCGTCTCCAGCTGTGTCAAAAATGCCATCCTGCACACACCAGCAAGGAAAATAGAACATAAAAAACGGTGTCATGCCTAGAAAGGGGGCTCAAGTTAACACGTTCACAAAGCACTATAAACATTGTTCGTGATGGCATCTCAAAGTCAAAGACATGTTAAGGAAAAAAATAATAAAGTTACAAACACCATCCAAGCCATCTCTTTGACGAGGCAACATTTTTTTTTATGCCGGGAAAAGAACATATATAAGAGAAATCGCAAAACAAACAAAAATATATATACCAAAAAAAAAACCCCAAAACAAACACAAAAAAACATACGTTAATACGAAACAAAGACAACGGAAATTACAGAAGAAGAAATGCATAAACGACTGCAAAGGTTTCAGCATAGAAATATTTCTAGTAAAGCACATTGTGACACGCGGAGAGAAATGGACAATGAGGCGTTGACACTATCCGGGAGACTGTCTGTTTCGTGCCATGAGTGGTTTCTCTCAAGTCTTGGATACTTTTTAAGCTTTTCCCCCATACAAATTCCTCAAACATCGATATAATTATAATATAATTGCGTACATGTGGATGATTGTTTTATAGCTGGAAAAAAAAAACTACGCAACATAGAACCATGAAAAATTACTGAAGATAGTTCAAAGACCAGGCTAAGTTTCTATCAATTCAGTAAGTGCTTGCATTCGCCTACACAATTTAGAAAAATAGAAAAAAAACCACTATAGGCCGTTTACGATTTTCCCATTCGTCATTTCAATGCAGTGTTCAAGACATATTTCGTTTTCCATGATAATATAAAAATTGAGACTTCCGTTCACATGCAGTGCGCACTGAAACCACAATGACCTGACGACTGAGTCTGTTCATCGAACGGGGTACCCAGCTAGTATATAATATTCTATCCAATATAGAAAGTCCAGTGGATTCAGGTCCGGACCGTTTGGGACCCAGATGCGCTCAGTCGGACTGACTTTTAGTTTTAGTAGGAGTTTTACGGCGCTCGCAATTGCATACGGTCATATGAGCGCCAGAAGATTAGAGGTGTAACAAGAGAGTGACAAAAACTAAAAAGAAGGAGGGGAGAAAGGGACGATCAATGTTTGATAGGAAAGAAGAAGCAAACCGCACCAGAGCACCCGCCAACCACCCACCCAGGACTGACTGTCCAGTGACCAAAATGGTTGTTGATCCTTCTCAGAAGAAAACAGCAGCTGCTCTGGCAACATGCGGGGCAGCCCTCTGTCTTGCTGGAAATTCTGGCTCTGTCCCCCTTTATCATAAAAAAGGTCCCAACTTCATCAGAACTTTGGTAGGAGGACAAGGTATAGGTCAGAGTTCACCGAATGGGCGGACCACCAGCTTAACCTTTTCAAGAGTGCGTTGTTTTTACAAGCTGCTTTCCGTGTGTTACTCAGGGCTTAGAATTCAGGTTATAATTTTCTATAGACCCAAACCTTTCAAAATTTGCAGCACACTCTGAAAATTCAGGTTATTATCTTCTATAGACCCAAACCTTTCAAAATTTGCAGCACGCTTCAAAAAGGACTTTCACTTGGAACTTTACGTTTGTAACAGATACTACCCCGTATGCCCTAGAAAATAATGCACAGGGTGATTTGAGAGATTATAATACGTCTCCTGATACATCTTCACGGAAAAAGCACAATATACAGGGGGGTGGGGGGCTGCTTTATCATCTTTCCGTTGTGCAAACGCAATAATGAACTTTATAAAACATTATCCCGATGTATGATTTAGCTTTGGGTCAATTTTGAGGTCAATTGTATCACAAACAAGAAAGTTATCAACAATTCTTCGATCAACCTTTTTCGCATCTGGTCAGCATCAACCCCTCGTTCTTCTTTCCAGACGTCCACGGCCACAATATACATGAATACATGGTCACTTTTAAGGACAAGCGGGCTAACCCAGATTTCGTGGCTTTCCAGAAATCTTAAACTGCACCAAATATGGGCATTGCCCTACCTTTAGGACAAGTTTGGTTTCATTGGTGCGTATATTTGTTTGGCTATGGAGAAAACTCTCTTTGTCTCTTAAAGAAACTGAACAAGGGGCAAAAACTTTACCTTCGATTTTCTCAAAACAGCATTTTTTTCGGGATAGCCCCCTTGTGCTTAAAAGCGAACATTTGCCAGCCACACTTGTAGTACCGGGGAGCGGCATGGCCGTGATGTATACCACAATATACATGTATATATGGTCGCTTTTAAGCAGAAAAGGGCTATCTCAAAAAATGTTGTTTGGAGAAAATCGAAGGTAAACTCCACCCATCCCCCCCAACCTTGTTCAGTTTCTTCAAAAGACAAGGAAAGTTTTCTCTATACCCAAACAAATATACACACCAACGAAACCAAACTTCTCCTATAGGTAGAAATCCGAAATCTGGGTTAGCCCGTTTGTCCTTAAAAGTGACCATATATGCCAGCCATCAAAGGAAATTGTTAATCCCTCCCAGCCTGGCTCGGCCCAGTGACAGAAATATGCAATGTTTGACCCATGATAAGAGATATGTGCACAACCTGTACCTATTCATTATGAAGCTTTATTTATCAAATGAGTGTTTTATGTGATGTGATGTGGGCCAATGGTCTTAAACACTGAATAAACTTACTTACTTACTTACTTAAATATAATATGCCGGCGACGACTTGCAGAGTCACCCGCCTTGGAGCGGCACAGCGATGATGTATACCACAATATACATGTATATATGCCAGCCACACTTGTATAACACAATACATACACACACACACACACACACACACACACGCACACACACACACACACACACACACACACACACACACACACACACACACACACACACGCACACATATATATATTATATATATAAGCATTATATGTGCCAGCCAGACTTGTCAAGCGACCTACCTGGGAGCGGAACAGCCGTGACGTTGATGACGACAGAGTCGTTGACTCGGCCCTCGATGGGCTTGTTGATGGCCGAGCAGGTGTAAGCGGCCGACTGCGTGACCTTGACCATCAGCACAGAGGTCAAGGACACCGGGGACGTGTCTTTCTCCACCTTCTTCTCCACAGGGTTGTTCTTGTCGAACGTCCGCAGCTGGGGGGAGGGGGGATGTAGGGACGGGGGGATTTTTTTAGTTCTGGTAGTAAGAATTGTTTTACGGTGCTTGCTTGCAGCACACACAAAAAAAAATGCTGGAAAAATTAGAGGTGTAACTAGAAGGCAGTATGGACAGAAAAGATGGAGATCTAGAGATAAAATTCTCGTAAAACCTTACAGAAACAAACAAACAAACAGACCAGTCACCTTCTTCACGTTTATGATCGTATTATGTTGATCATGTGCCGTGAAACTTTTAGGGGTTTATTAGTAATTACACTTTCAGTGACAACAGTCGTCCTCTTTGTAATCCGAAAATGACACATGATGCAATCTGAACAAAAATACTTCTTTTTTGGGATGTTTCAAATCCAGCAAGAAAAAGAGTCACCCACGAGTCATTTTGTTGATTTTGATACGCTGCTTCCGAGTTTAGTGTTACTTTTGTGTTAAGACGAATTTTCAATAGGTTTACAAACGAGAATCATATGTGAGGCAGTGTGGTGAAAACAGGCGCTCGTCAAAATAATCAAAGTGAAAAAGGAAGCATTTTTCCGCAGCTTTGTGAATTTTTATCGAATTTTTGCTTTTTGGCTCAACACTTTGCATTCCCAATAAAGAACACATTTCTGTGTGGACTTTACTGAAAAAAACTTTGATTATTAAAGGTACAAAAAAAGTAAATGTTCAGTTGTCACGAACTCTCAAGCTAAGGAAATAACTCATCTTTGGCGGCTATTTTCTCACTAATTTTACCTCTGAACCCAGGTGACCCCCACCTTCTTCATTCGCAAACATCTCGACTTCTATTCAATATAGATGTGTATTTTTTCACCAAATGCAAGGCGAATGTACAGGCTTTAAGGACTGGTGGGGCACCTGAGGTCTATTTTGGCTATTACACGGCCTAGAGTGCCGATATTTGCTGTGGGACATCGTGTGTTATTGGGGAACAATAGTTCAAAAAGTATATTGTGAATCGGTTGCTATGTAAACGGCGGCCATATTGGATTTTGTATACCTTTTTCAATCCCATTTTATTTCCTTATTTATTGACTGATTCACTTCTAATTTGGCATGCCAACAGCACATATGTAGCTCTTAAATTTTGCTTGTTGAATTTTTGATATATGATTTTGTTTTTATTTTATGACAATTACAATTGAGATGTTGCAAAAAAGTGGAAAAAAGGGAAATTCATGCTTTCTAAGCCCATAAATCAAAAATTACTACATTAATAAAAAAAATTCAACAAGCCAAAATTTAGAACTAGGTGTTGTTGGTACCCTGTGAAAGTTACATTAAAATTGAATAAGAAACAGAGCAGAAAAATGGGATAGTATGTGAAAAAATAGAATTGTGAGAAAACAGCCGATACTGGTAAGAAAAGGCTAGACAACATGATTGTGCTTTCGCCGAAAAAACTGTCAAAAAACCCCACAGCTTTAGGGTGTAGCAAGGCTTACATATGTTTCTGGATATTGTTCAGGAAGTGTCCAGGTACTGTAACATGTAATAAATCCAATTTACAAAATTTGACCCCCAAACACGATTTCTAGGTGCCCCACCACCAGTTATTATACAATAACTCTATATGCCCCAAAATTGACGAGTGCCTGATCCCACCATGCTGCGACACATATGACCTTATTAAATATGCAGTTGTAGGCGCCGCAAAACCTTACTAAAACTAAAACTAAAGGTAGCAAACGAAACGTCACCACCACCCCTATACTGTAGGTTTAGTATGTAGCGCATAGAGCTTACTTTCGAGTGGTGACATGCGCTATGCATTATTATTATCATTATTATTATTATTATTATTATTATTATTATTATTATTAATAATAATTATTACTATCATTATTATTATTATCATTAGTTATTATTATCATTATTATAATTATTATCATCATCATCATCATTATTCTTATCATTATCATTAACAATATTATTATTATTATTATTATTATTATTATTATTATTATTATTATCATCATCATCATTATCATTATTATCATTACTATTATTACCATTACTATTATTATCATTATTATCATTATCTTTATTATACTCACCAGCTCCCCGTTCTTCCGCCACTCAATCCGGGGCGGGGGAATTCCCGCGGCCTGACACGACAGCCTGGCGTACGCGCCAACACGCACGTGCCGGGGCCTGGTCAGCTGGTGTTTGTCGATCACCTCGGCCGGGGCTGGGGAGACAACGCAGGCACATCGGACAAATAAAAAGCCACTCTGGAAAATTGATCTAACGATCGATCAATCAATCAGTCAATTTGTCATTCAATCAGTCAATCAGTCAACCAATCAAATCGATCAACCAATCGATCAAATTAATCAGTCAATCGGTTATCGATCAATCAAACAATCAATCAATAGGTCGGTCAATCAATCCGTCGATAAATTAATCGATAAATCAACCAATCATTCAATCGATCGATCAATCAACCAACCAAGACACTGTTCTAAGAATAAATGAATCAATCAAGCAATCCAGGAAATGATAAATCAACTGTTCTAGGAATCAGCCGTTCAATAAGTCTAGGAATTAATCAATCGAGCAACCATTCCAGGAATCAATTAATCATCCTAAGAAAGAATGTATTAACTATTTTACGAATCAATGAATCAATCTTTCGAACAAACATACGAATTTTAAATAACTAAAGGAGAACGAAACTAATCGATTGATCGAAGGGGGAATCTAAGACGGAAAAACGGACAAATGAATCAATAAAGTATTTAGAAAAAAAATTTAAAAATGATAAACTGTCAGTAATATTAATAATGTAATCTTATAATTTCTTCTTTTGATTCATTCAAATGTCAGCTGAAGTCGTTTCTGTTTTTAAATTAATAAGATGAATATTTGGAGACATTTTCTTGTAGTCAGAACATAACGTTTTATGTTACTGTTGTACGTTGTACTGTACTGTAAAGCGCTCAGAGCCTGTGTACTTTAATCGGGGTTGAGCGCTAGAGAAATCTCATTTATTATTATCAACCAACAGACATCTGAGGTAGGTAAGACCCAGCGCGGATATTACATCCTTGTACATCTGTGTACCACGTAGGCATGTTAGAAAACATCCATCATCATCCAGTGCCAGATCTGCGACAGACATCGGCGATCATGGTTCTCCATTCATTCCTTTGCTCAGATGCTCTTTAAAAAAAGCTACGTTTTCCTGATCTTTCCCTGTTACCCATTTATTTAGGTTCCCTAAGTAGGTTGCTCTGGGCCTACCCCTGCCTCGTTTGCCTTCAATTTTGCCAGTGAGAGCTAGATGTTCAAGACTTTTATGTTTATTCAGGTGTCCCAAAAACTGCATTTAATTTGTCATATCCTGGTTGTTGTTACCAGTGAGCGTCCCACGTGGGCTTTAACAAGTTCAACAAGCACTACCACACCATAAAAACCAACCAACCAACCAACCAAACAATCAAACAAACAAATAAATAAACACAAACAAAAAAAACAAACAAGCATGAAATCAATAATAATAGTTATTATTAGATCTAATATCAATAATAATAATAATATATCATTATTACCATCATTATTATCATCATTATTATCATCATTATCATTATGATTTTTATTATTATATTATTGTCAAATGCTTTTCTCTCATAAACCCTGAAGGTCCCACGGATGAATTGTAGGATAACTATTATAATTATGAGGCATGCTGACAAAATGAGTTCCTTCTCGCAATCCAGAAACGGAGATGTTGGCCAAAAATCGACACTAGGGTAAAATTAATTGTAGATTTTCTATTTATGCTATATCCTTAAAGCACAACATGCCTTTTATTATTTCATACTTATAAATTGTAAAAACTTCACCTATAAGCGTGATGTATCTATTTCTATAGGGCTCAAATCCGAGAAGTAACTCATTTTGTCAGCACGCTTTACAATTGGTCGCTTTTAAACGCTTCACTGCTGAGCAGGCATAATAGGTATTCAGTTGTGGTCCCCAAAACTGGTTCAATGCAGGGTTTTTTTTGTATATGCCTATAGAGAAAAGTTTAGGAGGGGAGGTGAACTACCGCGCTTGCGCACTTGTTTATTCTTATTTAAGCTGAAAGTGACAATGTCTTTGTTTGAATCTCTCTTAGATTAACATTTTATCTTGACTGTACACTAACGTAGATATACGTTTCAGCAATGAAAGAGTTAAGCACAAGGGGGCTATCCCTCAAAAGGCTGCTTTGAGAACATCGGAGTAAAAAAAGTTTTTGCCCCTTATTCAGTTCCACTAAAAGACAAGGAGAGTTTTCTCAATAACCAAACAAATATACACATCACTAATGAAACCAAATTTCTCCTATAGGTAGGGCATTCAATGACACTTTTGGTGTAGGTCAAGATTTCTGGAAACCCCCGAAATCTGGGTTAGCCCGCTTGTAGTTAAAAGTGACCATATTATTATT